CAATGTATTGGATGTGGTCGTGGGGTTATACATTAGCTGGCGACACCGAGACACAACTGTACTTTTAATGTGCAATCAGTTATGCTAATATCACCCTTTGTTTGTCAATTGTAAATATAAATGCACTTTATATATGCAAATTATCCGATACACTTTTATAGTGATAATGTTCATTGGATATACCGGTGCGACATCTGAAATTATAAACAAAATAAAGCACGCATTGAAGGTAATATAATTTTAGAATTTGCGATACATGAGATATGTACTTTGATATTATGAAATAACATGAAATTATTTATTGGAACGTATCCTTTTTAATGGTCCAAAGCTGTGCTTACAATGTATCAACATTTTATTTTTATTGATATTTTGTTACAATTTTAGCTTTAATTGTTATTTGAAAATTAATGAAAATTACACTTGATTGTTCTGTTAATTGGTCGATCATAATACAACACCTACTTCGAAAATAAAAAAATAATCTATAGAATGTGATGATTCATTTGATTGTGTCGTCATTTAAAGTGTTGCGTATTTTTCAATGTGCCAGCTACAGAAGTATAATGTAAAAGTTGAAATTTTCGCGAGCAGAAATGTTGGCGTTGTGATTCTTTATACTGTTTGCGGTGCGGAAATTTTCACGTGGGCAACGGTTCTAAAATCTATATATCATCTATATCTATAATCTGTTTAATCTATTAATAAATATTAAAAACGCGAATATTTCCACTCCGCGAAAGCTTCCACTTAAACAGTATTTCATCATCTTGGAGAAATGTTTCGATGAAATATCACTTACATTTATCATTAAACAAGTGCTATCATTTATCTGTTACATTGTATCAATGAAATGTATATTATTAACCGAAGCTGATGCATATACAACTATTTCAGTCTGAATAAGATGACCTTTTCTCCTCTTGACACTTGGAATAAAGTCTGATCCTGCCATTTCGTCCTGTAATACCAAACACATAAGTAAGTGTTAAAATGTCATAAGAAAGAAAATGTTCAGATTGCTATGAAATGTCATATTTGGTTTTTTGAAAAGAAGCATTTTCTCCTTAATCGAAGAAAGGTTGTTTTACTACAAATTTGAAAAAAATATCATTATAAAAGTTGGATGGCTACGACATCTGCATCAATCTGTTTAACATTTTTATTGTCCACAACCCGGCCAAAGTTAACTGAGCATCTATGTATTATCAGCTTCAAAGTCCAGCGGTTAGCGGCTATGCACAATGAAATTATATTGCATCATTTAGATCATTTAAAATCTTGACCATCGAAGAGCCATTTCTTTGGGTGTGGGGTGTGTTGGAGAGGGTGAGGGTAGAGGATGAGAGGTAAACATTTGTTTACACACGTTATTTTAAGTAAAATCTATTTAGGAGTACTCTTAAGGGTTGTTACATGTTCAAGTAGAGTATAAAAATGATAAATAATAATGATAAAACTCGAATACACAGAAAACATCAACACCAACCGAAGAGACACAGACTTAAAGACATCAGGAACCCCCAACATGTTGTAATATAATCACATTGTCATCCCCAATCTGTTTTGTCACGTTACTATATCAATTATCATATCAATATTATACACAATTGATCATTATAGCTAATGAAAAGAAGTAAACATGCCAAATGTGAGAGTTTGTACTTGTTCAATGAGTGAATCAAGGACGCCTTAACTCTGCCCTTCCTTATAAATGCTCTAACGACACAAAATGATCAGAAGAGACGAGAACAGATTGAAAGCAGATTTGATATATATTGTGTGATCTATGGCCGCAGTATGACGTATTTTATCATTGAATGTGTGTGGTAGAATCAGCAAACACTAAACACGATATCTTATCTTTGACCAAGTGTGCTTGTTATCGTTGCCGAATGTTGTTTACTCCTACCAAACGTAGGCGAGTCCCCCTCCAGGTGACAGTTTTATGGTACGTATGTATGCATGTCAGTAAGGGTTTATATGGATCAGAATGATTTAAAATAGCGTGTGCCAATGTTTTTATGTGTATCATAATAATGTACGTGTGGCAGGGTGTTTTATATATGTGGTATAACAATGTACGTATGTCAGTGTGTTTTAATATGTGATACAATAATGTAAGTGGGTAAATGTGTTTGTATATGTAATAAAATTATGTACGTGTGTCAATGTGTTCAAATGCTATATAATAATGTCTGTGTGTCAATGACGTGTAATATAATTATGTACGTATGTCAATGTGTTTATATATGTTATATAATAATAAATGTATATCAATGTGTTTTTACATGTAATATAATTATGTACGTATGTCAATGTGTTTATATATGTAATATAATGATGTACGTATGCCAATGTGTTTATATATGTAATATAATGATGTACGTATGTCAATGTGTTTTTACATGTAATATAATGATGTACGTATGTCAATGAGTTTATATATGTAATATAATGATGTACTTATGTCAATGTGTTTATATATGTAATATAATGATGTACGTATGTCAGTGTGTTTATATATGTAATATAATGATGTACGTATGTCAATGTGTTTATATATGAAATATAATGATGTTCGTATGTCAATGTGTTTATGTATGTAATTTAATGATGTACGTATGTCAATGTGTTTATACATGTAATATAATGATGTAGGTATGTCAATGTGTTTATATATGTGATATAATGATGTACGTATGTCAATGTGTTTATATATGTAATATAATGATTTACGTATGTCAATGTGTTTATATATGTAATATGATAATGTACGTATGTCAATGTGTTTAAATACGATATATAATGATGTACGTATGTCAATGTGTTTATACATGTAATATAATGATGTACATCATTATATTACATGTATAAACACATTGACATGCGTACATCATTATATTACATATATAAACACATTGGCATACGTACATCATTATATTACATGTATAAACACATTGACATGCGTACATCATTATATTACATATATAAACACATTGGCATACGTACATCATTATATTACATGAATAAACACATTGACATACGTACATCATTATATATCGTATTTAAACACATTGACATACGTACATTATCATATTACATATATAATGATGTACGTATGTCAATGTGTTTAGACATGTGATATAATGAGTTACGTATGTCAATGTGTTTATGTATGTAATATAATGATGTACGTATGTCAATGTGTATATATATGTAATATAATGATGTACGTATGTCTATGTGTTTATATATGAAACATAATGATGTTCGTATGTCAATGTGTTTATATATGTAATATAATAATGTACGTATGTCAATGTGTTTATACATGTAATATAATGATGTAGGTATGTCAATGTGTTTATATATGTGATATAGTGATGTACGTATGTCAATGTGTTTATATATGAAACATAATGATGTTCGTATGTCAATGTGTTTATATATGTAATATAATGATGTACGTATGTCAATGTGTTTATATATGAAACATAATGATGTTCGTATGTCAATGTGTTTATATATGTAATATAATGATGTACGTATGTCAATGTGTTTATATATGTCATATAATAATAAATGTATGTCAATGTGTTGATATATGTAATATAATGATGTACGTATGTCAATGTGTTTATACATGTAATGTAATGATGTAAGTATGTCAATGTGTTGAAATATGTAATATAATGATGTACGTATGTCAATGTGTTTATACATGTTATATAATGATTTACGTATGTCAATGTGTTTATGTATGTAATATAATGATGTACGTATGTCAATGTGTCTATATATGTAATATAATGATGTACGTATGTCAATGTGTTTATACATGTAATATAATGATGTACGTATGCCAATGTGTTTATATATGTAATACAATGATGTACCTAGGTCAATGTGTTTATATATGTAATATAATGATGTACGTATGTCAATGTGTTTATATATGTAATATAATGATGTACGTATGTCAATGTGTTTATATACGTAATATGATGATGTACGTATGTCAATGTGTTTATACATGTAATGTAATGATGTAAGTATGTCAATGTGTTGAAATATGTAATATAATGATGTACGTATGTCAATGTGTTTATATACGTAATATAATGATGTACGTATTTCAATGTGTTTATATACGTAATATAATGATGTACGTATGGCAATGTGTTTATATATGTAATCTAATGATGGAGGTATGTCAATGTGTTTATACATGTTATATACTGATGTACGTATGTCAATGTGTTTGTATATGTACTATAATGATGTACGTATGTCAATGTGTTTAAATACGATATATAATGATGTACGTATGTCAAATAATGATGTACGTATGTCAAATAATGATGTACGTATGTCAATCTGTTTATATATGTAATATAATGTTGTACGTATGTCAATGTGTTTGTATATGTAATATAATGATGTACATGTATGTAATATAATGATGTACGTATGTCAATGTGTTTATACATGTAATATAATGATGTACGTATTTCAATGTGTTTATATATGTAATATAATGATGAACGTATGTCAATGTGTTTATACATGTTATATAATGATGTACGTATGTCAATGTGTTTATACATGTGATATAATGATTTACGTATGTCAATGTGTTTATACATGTAATATAATGATTTACGTATGTCAATGTGTTTATATATGTAATATGATAATGTACGTATGTCAATGTGTTTATATACGATATATAATGATGTACGTATGTCAATGTGTTTATACATGTAATATGTGTTTATATATGAAACATAATGATGTTCGTATGTCAATGTGTTTATATATGTAAGATAATGATGTACGTATGTCAATGTGTTTATACATGTTATATAATGATGTACGTATGTCAATGTGTTTATATATGTAATATAATGATGTACGTATGTCAATGTGTTAACTTGAAAATTTAACTTGAAATCTCCTAATCTTCCTTCTCCTGAATATCCTGATATTTATAACAGTATCTGGAGTAGTGAATCACTGTGATATGCAACAAGGAGGGACGGTATATTACTGGGGAAGAAATGGTTATGAACATCTGGATATACAGTTTGGTAGTGTACCCTTTGTACTTTTAGTAAATGTCAAGATACGAAACTAACAAAGAGGAATCTTTAATAGTTTTGTTTTTAAATTCTGTTACATGCAAGTAGTTCTTGAATTACTATCGGTCAAGGACAGTATATATCTGGATGTGATATTAATGGGTCTGGCATCTGCCTTATCTCAAAAGCCCTTCTTTATATTTAGCTTTAAAATAATACATAAACAGATAAGCCAAGTTGATGCTCGTTTTTTTTTAAAGTTTTATCCACCAATTTCAACAAGATTTGGTAGTTCGAAAATTTAACAGACACACGATACCATCCTAGATGTACTCGTTTCCATTGACAACGACACAGTTGTACATTTGTTTAGCAAGGAGATATTTACATAGAATGTGAAGATGTCAGAGGTTTTAACTGCGCTGCTTTTGATAAAGAATATATTCGCTGTTGATTTTTTCCCCCTCAAAAAGTTTTATTTGTAAGTTTGAAATTCCACAGACAGTTTATGCTCCAACATATCAAAATATGCGTGAAATCTATGTTTATTGTAGGATTTTCGTGAAAAAAACACACACCAGTCAATATAATAACAGAGTGATAATCTATTACTTTACAAAAATACTTGCTGATCGTCAAGAGACGATTGTTTGAATGACATTTCTCCAGTTCTGTTTTATTAACATTTGTTTGGTCCTTGTCTGTAATAACGACATATTGTTAATATGTTTAATTGTTTGGTCTTGCTTTTTTGGGTCCTTGAAACAGTCAATGTTATACACAAACGGTGTCAACAGTTGATGGGTAACTCAAGGGCCAATAACAAGTGTGGTCTCACTAATACGCCATATTATTGATACGGTAGCATGTCAAGCGGTGTAATGACTCTGACAACTGTCTAACTGAAGGTATCCATGGGACATTACTTGGAAAAAAGAAGGTTGGCGATAAAAGAAAAAGAAAAGACCACAGTGTTGAAATGGAGTCCGTAGATAATTTTGGTTTCTCCAATGGTGCAAATCAGAAGACAAAGACATACACCTCCGATTATGCAGATGGTACCATATTAGTTGCTTCATACGAGCATACAGTGGGTTACAGAGTGTTATTCTTTCCCCGAACCGGCACCGATATAATTATAACAGATGTGATATACATTTCATTTTGTCTAAGACATGCATTCGTATAATGTATAATATGGTAACCAAATAAACCTCCCCCACCCCATCCCGCCCCCGCAAATCACAGCTCTCAGTTAATAAAATGATCTCACCAGCGGATTTCAAATTATATTCTTTTGAATATAAAACATATGTATTATATAAAGTAGCACCTTTTAGTACAGATGTACTTAAAAATCTTCATGATGAAATATAATAGACCAAACGAACAGAGCATATCTCTCGAGAGCAGTTTAAAATTCTTGTTCAAAATGTTGATTCTTCTTTCTAATGTCGATTTTTAGCATAATTAATTTTTCGTTATTTATGAAATGTATGGTATAAACTGTGCTGACAAGGCGTTTAATACGTAGAAAACTGAATCGTTACAGATCCACTATGAGAGCTGTCCAGCTGGCATTGATGTTTACTGCTACTTTACTGTCTACAGAGTGCTATGAACCTGCCCGAGTACACACTGACATTGGTGATTTACAAGGAGTACTGGAAATCATCAGGAATGAAACCGTCTATCAGTTCAGGAACATTCCCTACGCCAAACCCCCGATAGGTCCTTTAAGATTTAAAAAACCTGTCGCTCATGGCGGCTGGTCTGGTGTGCTGGACTGCACCGAATTCGGACCTTCATGTTTGCAACAACATTCCACTTTAGATAGATACCTACCAAATCTAAACCAGTCTGAGGATTGTTTGTCGCTGGACATGTACATCCCGAGAACTCTGTCTTCAAGTGCGAACAGGTCTGTGATGGTCTTTGTCTTTGGGGGTGGCTTCCTAGTCGGACAGGGCACGCTCTACGATGGTTCTTTTTTAGCACTGACGGGAGATGTTATTGTTGTCACACTGAACTACAGACTTGGTGTGTTTGGTTTTCTTGCTAATCCTGCTCAAAGCTTACTTGGAAACTATGGCCTGTGGGACCAGCGTCTAGCATTAGAATGGGTACATGCACACATTGCCAATTTCGGCGGAAATCCTAATTCTGTTACATTATTTGGTCAATCTGCTGGTAGTTTCAGTGTTTCGTTACAGTCTCTTTATCCTAAAAATAAAGGATTATTTCATCGAGTCATTGCGCACAGCGGCGTAGCTGAAGGGCACTTTGCAATATGGCACAATGCATATGCATATGCAAAAGATATAGGCATTTATTTAGGTTGTGCAAATACAACGTCTTATGCAGACTGCATAAGAAACATACCTGCTGAAAAGTTATTACAAGCTCAAAACTCGATCACACAACCAGGGAATACGGGAAGGAAACTTCATTTTGACTTAAGTATGGGACCCGTTGTAGATGGAGACCTACTTCCGCAGACTCCATCAGAATTGCTCCAAAACAAAACCTCTGACAGTTACCATTTCTTCCGATCACTTGATTTTATTACTGGAAATGTAGATACAGAAGGTTCCATTTTCTTACCATTATTAGCATCATTAGCAAAAGAGAATAATTTCAACTTCTCCAATGGTGTTCCTTTGGACGTTTATTGCAACAAAATTGGCCCAGGTTTACTCGCGGCTTATTTCGAGAAGGATGTTAACAGTTCACAAGCAGATAACCTATTGTGTTCTTTTTATGGTACAGCGGATAAGCTTAAACAGGCACAACACACATTGGAAGCGTATGGCGACGCCCTCTACTACGCACCGTCTGTAGAGATTCTCAGAGACCATTCGGAGGGAAGTCCTGCATCTAGTACCTACCAATACGTGTTTAGACGGCCAATACCAGACCCCACTTTCACTGCGGGTTATCCCCCTTGGTGGCAGAACAGATCAGCGCACGGGGCGGAACTATATTACCTGTTTCGAATTCACGACTATAAGGCTAACCGCACCATTAATGTGCCCAATCACGACGATGGTCTACAAACAGCGATCCTCAAGTACTGGACAAATTTTGCCAAAACTGGGTAAGCTACTTTAACAGAAGTGAACAAAACGTTCAGTATCGGGCATATTTTGTTGTGATAGAGAAAATTAACGAGGACAAATTACCTGTCAAAAATTATCCTACAGATTCGTTCGAACGTACAAACAACGATGAATCATTTAAATTCCATAAAATTTTGTTTTTTTCCAGAAACCCAAACTCTAATGACGTACCACAATGGGACACCTATGACGTAATCAGTCAGAAATACAGCAGCATGGGCACCACTATCACACAGGACCAGCATCTGTACGGCTCCAGGGTAGATCTATGGCTAAATAGGCTAACTAAACTACTAGATGGGAGTGTCTCGAGTGTAATATTTGGCTAATTATTAACTTTTCTAAGAACGGTGATGAAGATCCTCGCCATTGGTTAGTAAGTCAGACCGATATGTCACCCTGGTAAAATACTAGCCGCTTCCTACCGACTCGGGCTAAGGAGAAATTCTCTTTAGCTCATTGAATAGAGCGTAAGACTTATAAGCCAGAGGTTCCGGGTTCGAGTCCTAGCGGAGGCATTGAAAAGTATAACGATTTCTGTTGCATTGGTGCCCACATAAGGACCCGGGAGAATGCAGCAGAAGCGGATAGTATTTCATCAGGGTAAATGATATATGCAAAGGTATTATTTCTATTGTTTGAATTGGTTGTGATTCTATTGTTTCGTTGCCCAATCATAACACGTTAACCTGGTGTCGTATAACGATTAAATCGAGATCGTGATACGGGCAGCAGCTGCAGGTATCAAATGTAACATTGCACTTTCCAAGCAAGTCGGAAAAGCCGATGCATTAAGAGATTGTAGTCGAAAGAGTTTTAAAAATGTTTAATACTAACAATGCAATGTAAATATAAACATCGATCGTGTACTGCTTAGACACGATAGGGAAGCATCTGTTCTGGCAACATTTTGTTAAGTTACTTCGTTTTCTTTTTTGTTTAAGTCTGAACAATCGCACTGATTAATAAAAAATCGAAATAAATCATATTAAATGAGAAGTGATACGTGAGTTTTATTGTGTATCAGAGCAGGGGTTTAAATACAATTGTTGTGCATTAACGTTCTGCACAACCAACGCCCCAGTATTATTTCTGACATTATCTGTTGGAATGGTGTCGAAATGCATCAATTTACTATCATGTCGAACGCTTACTGTGGTGTCATTGAAACACTATTATGAATGTCATCGAAATGGCTATCACCAAAAAAACATTTAAACCCCTTTGCATTTAATGGAAATTCATCTGTTGTGTTTTTCGGAAAAGCATTATATCAAATGAACCGGGGAATATATATAAAATATCCACTCATAATCAAATTGTAATCGATTACTCGATCAAAAACATGAGCTTCCTATAACACAAGTACAAAATGTACATTTGCATTAAAGGGTAGAAATTCCCTACAGTTGCAAAACAAAATTATGCTATTTCTGTCCAGGTATGGTTCAAGCTCTGCTCAACCATTCTTGAGTATTAGTTTTATTTTCAAAATGGATTCACACTTCCCATATTGAGTTCTGGCAGACAAGCAAATGCAATATAGACAAGGTGATATACCCTTGTCTGATACTGTTGTTCTTGAGTTTTTCTAAAGTAGTACGTAAAGTAAATTGCCTTGTAAGCAACAAGATATATTTATACAACTTTGAACCTCATTTTCTAAGCAGTGATTTCTATCTTATATGATATCAGTATCCATCTGTTTTGAAAGACCAGTCTTGAAAAGGTATAACTTACAGACGGATGGCAACGGACAATCTCAAGAACATGCAATATTTTTGAAATTTGCTCGTTTGGATAATTCACCACAGAATGACATCATATCGTTGTTAGATAGCATTAATGTTAGCATGGTGTCCATTACTCCGCCATTACTGCGTTAGTTCAAGAGAGTGCGTTGGCAGGATTCAGTAAGCCTGTTGATTTAGCCGCCCCAGTTCCATGTTATGCCAGCTTTAATCTACATTCATTTCAAGTGTTTTGTATGGTAACGTATTTTTCCAAATGGGTGATTTTTACGGCAAAATGATAGGCAAAACAAAGATCTAAAACTCAGGCTTGCATTACAACACCAATGGTTTATTATTTTGACGCCTCGATATCACCACATTTATATCGCTAAAATGCAAACCGTGTACTTTTTTTCTTTCGTGGTTTGGTTGTTTGTGCTTTACGTCATATTAACAGGTATAGTAATTTAAGGACGATAAAGGTTTTGGTGGAGGAGGAAAACAGGAATACCCGTAGAAAAAACACCGACCTGCGTACTAGCGACTGTCACCAATAGGCCTCAAACCAGCGACCCGCCCGTCATCAGTGGTGGTGGTGTGTGTGTGTGTGGTGTGTGTGTGTGTGTGTGTGTGGGGNATAGTGATCATAACCTGTAAAATGGATTGATATCATCATTTTCACCATATCATTCCGAAGACTCGTCTGATTTAATAGCTTACATAACATCATCAAAATGATATTAACGTCACTGTACCCAAATCGGGACACTTTTTAGATAAATATCAATGTCCTTAATACCATGCAATCAGTTCCAAAAATGTTTGTTCATTTTCATATAAAGATACTTTCCACTTTTTATTTCTATTACAAGTTGATATTTCGGGCGCGTGGTTCTATAATACCATCAGAGTTACGTAGGCCCTTGAACCGGTGTAACTGTACCCTGAAAGGGATACCTCCGGTATTTTGGCTAATGGGATAAACAATCAATATCAGCAGAAAAGTAGACATATTACATATATTTTAGAGTCACTTTACTTCGAGATATTGATAACACTAGGACATACTTAGAGTTCTTTTGATGGCAGTATTAGGTATTAGCATTCCTTATATCTATTATTAGAAATGTACCGTTGTAATCTCATGTAATTATCAGGTGTAATGTCTCCTCGCATTGCATCTTACTCCAGCAGTTTATAGCGCCAGAGTTCTATCGACGTTGTCTCGATCCACACAGTCGATGTCACTAATGACGAAAGCATTCGTATTAATCAGTAACTATCTATAATCGTAAACAAATCCCCACCTGGATTTCTAATCTACAACTCATTTCGTTTCTTGAAGTATTTACTTTAACTAACAGCACAGCTAAGTGTGTTGTCCTCGGCTTCAGTGGTATCCATCACTTTTCAACAGCTGAAACACTCGGTCTACTACCTCTTCTAATCTTTCCACACCCCTCCTACTCCAAACCGACATTAACACTCGAATGAAAGTTAAAAATATACTAAAACTCATTTTCTGCTCATTTTAAAACGGTCAAACATTTGTGAAACAGTTCCCGCAGGCCCGATATCACTGAAATACATTTTGATGTCACATAAATGCTCTATCTGATCGTGATTGACTAATCGGGATACATGTCTGGCTATTTCATGTTTTGCATCAAAGTTATCTTGCCTTCACATTTTCTTCTGCTTTTCCCCATGAGGGACAAAAATGTATCTTATGATCTGGTCCATGTGCAATAAATCTACGTACCATAGCGCTTCATAGAGCGTTGTTGAAACTAAGATCAGTCATTTATTTTCTTACTTTAAATATTTCATCACTAAAACGAACTGCTAACGATCAAAACAAAACAGTTGTTTCGTGGCTGTTTTTATAAGAATCAAAACTCTTGCCCTTTGATGCTGAAGAGGACAGTTGTACCAAACAGCCGTTCGGGACTTTGTCGCTTTGTTATTACTTTTCCCTCATTCGATCCCATCGCGTACCAAACTTTGTCAAAACCTTAATATGAGTAGCTACTAATAGCTAGTGTTGATTGTGATGAGGTCCTGTAATTGGCTGAGTGATATTGAATTATCATTGATAAGAGCTTACATATTGTTAACGTGACAGCAAACAAGTATGTCCAAGATGGAAGGACGATCTGTTCATCCGGTATCATTTCAACGGGTGCGTCATTGCTAGAACAGTAATCGAAAAACCATTAGCTGTTTAACCAGGCTAAAGATGACCAAGACTATCGTACATCTGTGAATTTGATTTGATTCTGTGTAAATCTGAATATTACTTCCGCGAAAGGATGGACAGGCGATGTTATCCGCAGATGTTGCGTGTCCAGAGGAAGGATAAACATCTTTGTTGACACTTGACACACTTCAAATACTGTGTCACATACGACAGCACGCTCATGGGTAGACAGACAGCTCGGCCTACATCCCATAGGTACGGGGAACGTGAATGTTTATATCTCATACAAGGGGATCATTTCATCTATAGACCTACATCTCATACGTACGGGGAATGTGTATGTTTATATCTCATACATGGGATCATTTCATCAATAGACCCACATCTCATACGTACGGGGACCGTGTATGTTTATATCTTATACATGGGAATCATTTCATTTATAGAGATACATCTCATACGTACGGGGAACGTGTATGTTTATATCTCATACATGGGAATCATTTCATTTATAGAGTTACATCTCATACGTACGGGGAACGTGTATGTTTATATCTCATACATGGGGATCATTTCATCAATAGACCTACATCTCATACATACGGGGAACGTGTATATGTTATATCTCATACATGGGGATCATTTCATCAATAGACCTACATCTCATACGGACGGGGAACGTGTATGTTTATATCTCATACATGGGAATCACTTCATCTATAGACCTACATCTCATACGTACGGGGACCGTGTATATGTTATATCTCATACATGGGGATCATTTCATCAATAGACCTACATCTCATACGTACGGGGACCGTGTATATGTTATATCTCATACATGGGGATCATTTCATCAATAGACCTACATCTCATACGTACTGGGAACGTGTATGTTTATATCTCATACATGGGGATTGATAATAAAAACGGTAATGCTTTACAGATCTTCGTGTTCCTTTTTAACTCAACTTTTCATATATCTACCGAACAATGAGAACACAGTAACTTTTAATGTATATTATATCCACTTATTAAAAGGTAGGTTATGTGTTTCACAACAAAATGGTTTTAATCCACTTTATAAGCGTAGGCCATTCCCTAATTAATAGGTAGATTGATTGTAACACCAGACAATGGTTTTATCCATTTATCAATACATAGGTCATGTGTTACATAATAGATGTGTACGTATCCACTTCATGTAATGGTAAGTTTTCATTAGTTGGAAATGAAACATACATTTATGCATAGATCCACGTTTAAATAGTGCATATTCAATAGGAAACAATAGGATAAATAATGGATGCAGGCAGACACTATGCCTCTATATCCATATCATAATATATTTCTTAAGTATTTAGAAAACATTATTCATTAATTGTCATTTCCTGAGATTTCTTTATGGCCGGCCAAATTATTGTATTTCAGTTCAAGATTTTTCCAATGAGTATCGAGATTAATTTCAAAGTCCTTAAATATTCGTTCGAATCTCTCATTAACCAATAGCTAACTTACTTGTGATCCAGGCTATACTTGATTTTCGAATAATTTCATTATAAAACCTGATATTGCATGTTGCAATCTTAAAACAAGCTCTATAAAACTATCCCCGTACCGAGACAACCCAATAAACAGGTTGTGGATTTACGTCACAAGTTAACTTAAGTTAGGTTGGATATCACAACCAATCGTAACTTATGTTGTATATCACAACCAATCATGATTAAGGATGCAGAGCACAACCAATCACAATTAAGGATGCATATCACAACCAATCATAATTAAGGTTGCATATCACAACCAATCATAATTAAGGATGCATATCACAACCAATCATAATTAAGGTTGCTTTTTACAACTAATCATAATTTAGATTGTATATCATAACCAACCATGACATAGTATTAAATGACTTATCAGAACCAATTTTTGTTTTCAATCAAATCGATACACGGAATAACTTTAGTACGATACAGCAATACGATATTTGAATGTTTTTCTGAAATAAAAATAGTTGATAACATAAAATCTGATTTCACAACCGACCAACTGTGTAGCCAATCACAGCATCGGGGAAGTCATTATCAACTGTGCAACTACTCCTGTAATGAAAATCCCATTCAATCACTCCTGAAATAGATAGCTACTCAAACATTTTTTGCATCAAATCAGTGTATTTATCGTGCCGCGATTAATACATCCACAATTTCTCTCTTCTTCATTGCAGTGTCGCTCAGGACACAGATCGAATAGGGTAACGATGCATCTCCTAGCCATTGACCTGATTAATAGTGCGGATTTACAAAACAGCATTCAATTTAGCTGCATGTTGAAACTAATAGCGTAAACAAAGGCTCGTACGTATGGACTATACCGTCAGGGCACTCGAATCAAGCAAATCGTGAGATTGAAAAGAACCGAGGCAAAACGTGTTGTTTAATTTGAATTAAAAATTATCACAGAGATATTGACATCAAACAGGGAAAGGTTTGCCGAGATAATTAATATAACTTCAGATGACTGCCTTTTCGATTACGACTTTTCATATCAACCTCAGCTACCATGCCATATCGAACATGGTACAAACACGCGACCAGTAAGCCCATGTTAAAAAAATCAATAATCAAAACCTGCCTAGACCGCCCAACGGATGAGCAAACACGGTATCCAATATAGATGTTCTTTAAATATTTTGCTGATATAAAAAAGCAGCTTGGGAACAATTTAAAAAAATCTTAATGTTCATGTGGTTGTTATAGGCAAGTGATACTTATACGCATGTGCTATTTATATGAAGGTGATAGTTATAGACGGGTGATATTTTTTTGATGGGTGGTAGGTATAGACAGGTGATAGGTACAGACAGGTGGTCGTTAAAGACGATGGCTAGTTATTGATGGGTGATAGTTTAAGACAGATGATAAGTATAAACAGGTGGAAGCTGTAGACAGATGGTAGTTATGGACAGGTTATAATTTTAGACGGGTGGTAGCTATAGACAAGTGATAATTATGAACAGGTGATAATTGTAGACAAGTGGTAGTTATGGACAGGTGATAGTTATAAACAGGTGATATTTATAGACAGGTGATAGTTATAGACAGTTATAGACAGGTGATAGTTATAGACAGTTATATATATACATGTAATAGTTATATATAGGTGGTAGTTATACACAGGTGGTATTTATAGACAGGTTACAATTATAGACAGACCATGACAACCTTGTGATATTTATTTACAGATGATAGTTAAAGATGAGCATGTTCGAATTAGTTATAAACAGTTGGTTGTTATAGGAGGAAGATCTATATAGACACATGGTTGTTATAGGAGGAAGATCTATATAAACAGTTGGTTGTTATAGGAGGAAGATCTATATAGACAGGTGGTTGTTATAGACAGACGGGAGGTATAGCCTTGTGGTAGTTATAGACAGACCATTTTTATAGACAGGTGATTGTTATAGACAGGTAGTATGTCTAAAAGCAGCTACATGTGACTGTTACTACATGTGGTAGTTATAGACAGGTGGTAGATATAAAGAGTTGATATTTAAGGCAGATTTGACTGCCTTTCTCTTTTTATAAGTTGTGATTGAGAATCCCATAAAACACAGATTAAACGCAATGAACTTGGTCACAATGGACAAACCACTTTCTTATGAGCCATTAGTGAAGGGTATATACTTGTATAGTTCCTTGTGTGCTGTACATACACTTAGGCGAGGCGGAATACCTCACAATAGACTGTGCTTTATTTGACTATTAACCAATGTTTTACTATCACGGGAACAATTTACCCCCATGACTCTGAGTAATCTAGGCATCACATGTTTTATAAATCTACGTCTTAAACAAATGACCAGGAATCTACGGATGCCGATAACGGAATTATTTCCAGATTATTTGATATTGAGCTGGGGATCTGCTCTTTTGGGGTTTATTAAGAATGTATTATGGACGGTAAAGTGTTCAATGGCTACCTTCCCCAATAGGATTGATACTATTAGACATCTTTATATTTTGTACCTTGCTGGTATGTGTTAGTATATAACTGACAAAACTGCCAACGACATTGTCTGTTAATACCATCATGTAAACCACCCACGCTAAATAACTCGGAAGGAAAAATATCGATAACCGTATTTCTACCGTATCAGCATATTTAAGAGACGAGCTATTGATCGATCATCGATCTCCCCCTTTAATCGTTCGGTGTATTAGATAAGGAAATTGATTGATGGATTTACCGACCGAATATTTACTCAACATTCCTTACAAAGAACGGTTAATTATACGACACTCCAATTGTTCAATTAAACCCACAGACTCTTGATCCGCACGCCTAAAGGAATGCTTAAAGGAATAGAAGTTATATAGCAACATCAATCAAATGTGGAACTCTAAAGCACTTCTTAAATACGCAAGATTTTCATCTTTTTTAATTTTGAAATGACATCTGTTTAGACCTTTTTCTTCTCCACAATATTTTCCACTAGTTCTAAAGCTAAAGATAGTTTACACCTACAATATTTGGTTATTAGTCGCTTAATACTGACACAGTAAGATATTTATATATTGCCGTCAACAGGAGGAAATAAAATGTTGTAATTAGACATAACAATGGTAGCAAGAAAAATGGCACTGCAGATGATGCTGCCCATAGACTAACATGGAGGAGGAAGACTATATATATATATAACAAACTATTCGTATTTCAATGTGGCCACTCGCAACATTTCTGACTAATCTGCTATTCAATTTTACACTCATGTTTTTTATTCCGAATATTATAAACGCTGTCCTACATTGTAAATATTTTCTTTCCGTTTACTTTGCGATGTCAATCCTTCGATGAACCATCTCAAAATAACAGATTATTAATTACACATATATACATGGTTTCTTGATATAATGAACAATATACCTCAAAATTTGTCATAGTTATAATTAATTCTAAATTTTTGATAATTGATCAATCAAAAAATTATTTGATAGAAACGTTAAAAGCTTTAACTACATATCTGTAACACAATCATTAAAAATATGATAATAATGCTAAACCAACACCAAATATGTTATCGTTTTAATTCCTTCTCGGTAATATGATATTAAAATTCTCGCCAGCAAGAAATCTCATAAGTTAAATTCAAAAACAACTTAATAAGAATTTTAGAAATCAAAGTCTTCTTTATTCCTCATGGAAAATTACTCTTTTGATAGTAAAAAAAATTAAACAAACGAAAAATATGATTTTCCACAAGGGAGATAGTTATATAGTTATGGTAACGTCAATGAGCCATCTGTTGCATAAAATGACATGTTATATAAAACACGAACTCGATATATACTCGTGTAAAGCATTGATTTACATTTTTTTTTTACAATAATACCCCCCTTATCCCTTGTCAAAAAATCTATTAGTTCATCGAACATTTATACAATGTCATCACTTTTCTCAACGTAAATTATAAGCGTTATTTTTAATTTGTAACGCTTTGCAATTTTCGGTCAATCGTTTAACCGTTTTCGAGGTAAAATTGCAAAGACTATGATTTCAAGTACAGTAAATTGAGCCAAGGAATATCATGACATTGATACATAAAAACGTCAAAACGAATGTAAGGCTCGCATCTCAATTACAAATGTGAAAACAGTGTTGGCATTGAATTCAAGTTTCATTTAAACCTGTACGGGCGTATCAAATGAAGCAATGCTTTTTATGGAAGCTAAGGATAGAAATACGTTTCAATATGGAATTGGTTGTGTATTATTATCGATCCATGGCAAATGAATAGCGGAAACCTTATAACCTAACCGGCAAATAATGTTATATGTAACCTTGCCATCAATGTGTCAGAACATCATCTTTGTTTATTCGGAACACCAATGAGACCGTCGATGAAATAATGTCGAGGATATCAAAACTACAAATTAATTCGCCATTTGTATTTGTGTATAATGTTTCATTTTCTGCATGATACCCCCTTTGTGTTGCAAACTTTTTACTGTTATAATATCAAGAAATACTAAGCCCCATTTCCCCTCCGTAGTGGCTACTAAGTGGTGCTTGTATATAGATTACAGTTACAAACACAAATAAATGTTGATGTACACATCCGGACTTGATGACAAAAATACATTTAAGTAGTAACACACTTGAAAATTTTGTGAAAACGTCATCACGACAAACCACCGACGTTAAATTTATCTTTCCATGAAATACGCAGGAAGACGGATATCTTGTTAGCGGCTCTGTCAAGGGATCCCATTAGGTGTACGACTAATTGTAAGTGCATGAGGGATGTTGAAACAAAAGTCTGCCAAGGATTATGTGGCCATTAACTTTAGGCAAACAAGGTGTACCGTGAATTGTAAACATCATTGAGACAAGGTGTACCGTGAATTGTGAACATTTAGACAAGGTGTACCGTGAATTGAGAACATTTATACAGGGTGTACCGTGAATTGTAAACATTTAGACAAGGTGTACCGTGAATTGTGAACATTTAGACAAGGTGTACCGTGAATTGTGAACAATTAGACAAGGTGTACCGTGAATTGCGAACATTTAGACAAAGTGTACCGTGAATTGTGAACATTGAGACAAGTTGTACCGTGAATTGTAAACATTTAGACACGGTGTACCGTGAATTGTAAACATTTAGACAAGGTGTACCGTGAATTGTGAACATTTAGACGAGGTGTACCGTGAATTGTGAACATTTAGACAAAGTGTATCGTAAATTGTGAATATTTAGCCAAAGTGTATCGTGAATTGTGAACATTTAGACAAAGTGTATCGTAAATTGTGAACATTTAGACAAAGCGTATCGTGAATTGTGAACATTTAGACAAAGTGTATCGTAAATTGTGAACATTTAGACAAAGTGTACCGTGCGTTGTGTGGATATTCAGAAAATGTACCACGAACTTAATTGATTTACTTTTCTTCACAAAGTTAACGATGTGTAAAGATATTTAAACAGACAGACTTTATCATGAGTTTAGCGAATATTTACAAAGTGTACAGTGAGGAGTACGAACATTTCATACACACAAAATTTTCCATGTAGAGAAAGTTCACTGGGAACTGAACGCATATTCACCGTACATCGCAGACTATCAACATGAAGGTAACGATAACTTATTCAAATTTTATCGTAAACTTTGTTTGACGCGAGGTTTATGGACGAACATTTGGGATTCAAACATAAATGGAAAATAAAAACTTGTTATGGTAGGCAGGCAAGATAAAACAACCCCTTCATCCATCCAACATCAAATTAATGTTTATCCATTACATTTACAATCACTTGTTATCAACGGGGTTCCCTTTTATACTCGTGTGTCGTGAGATTTAGTCATACTTGATTTTAAGTCGGAAACCACAATGAGGTTCATGCACCACAAAACACTTTTTTCTATATCACTTTAACTATAACAAATAATTTCTGAAAAGAAAACCATACCTAACAGGGGTTTTATGAGGATGTAGATATACTCATGAAATGAAGTGTTCTGAGTGTAAAAAATACAACGGATCAAGATTAGGATTCGAACCCTTGGCCATTATACTGTCGCTATAACCAACATAGCTACATGTACATGGTCAACATGTAGTACCTTGGTCTCGCCCCTCTATAGATACATCCAAAACAAAATCAAGGGTGGTCGGGTGGTGCAGTGGATAGCGCACTTGCCTTTCACCAAGGCGGCCGGGGTTCGATTCCCCGATCGGACGTGACAAGGTATGGGGTCACCTGCCCGACCACATGGGTTTTCTCCGGGTACTCCGGTTTCCCACATAATCCCCCGTGCGCCAACATACGGACCAACAAGAGTGATTAACATAAGTTGACATAACTTGTTTCATAATTGTTGTAAAATAAAAAAGTTTATAGAAAAGAAAAAAAATCAAATGGGTGGAGACGATTGCTTGGATTAAAATGCAATGGAATTCTTCAGTGTTTTACCTACAGTGGAACAGGTATCCTAAGTCACACACTGAAGAGTAAAGTGAGGTTTATTCATACTAAATACAAAGTAAGGTTTACTTATGCTATAATTACATATTGAAATACACGGTGAATTACCTAAAACATATTGAAAATCTAAGTGAGGTTTAGTCATTTTTAAATCATGTCGGAAGACAAGGTCTGTTCTAGAAGAAGTTTGATCATTACACAGCGAATATCTTGTATTTTTATCTATGATCTGTTCGTTTCACCAAATCTCGGATTTAAAACATTTTACTGGAACAGATTTCATGTCGATTGCCATGGTGTTATTTTTGTACCTATTAACAAATCATTAAAACAGACGATCTTTATCAACGTGATACTTTTAATGACTTATTTACCGGGCACGTTTAATGTAAACTGGGTTTTTTTCTCCAGAAAATACTAGATATATACCGCTTTTACTAAATGCATTATCTGTGATTTCGTGTAATCAAACTGTGCCAATCTACTTCCCACTGATTTCCATGTTGTTCTAAGCTAAAGCTCATGGTTTACAGCGGTGGGTTAGGTTTGATATCAAGTAAGGATTAACTTGCCATACCTTAGAAACGATAGTAAAATGAATCTTTCAATTATTTAATAACATGGTTTAAATATCTGCACCGACTGCATAGGTTTCTAGTACGATTAGATGTGTAAACAACCTGTGTAGCGAAATCGTCACGGCGTACAAGGAGCGGTCATTATTAAGGACGGAACCTTATCGAGAAGGGGAAATAATTGATTATGAAATATTGCAACTATTGACTAAAATAGATGTATTTTTTTCTGAATATTTAATGGTATTAATTAATGATGCTACGAAGATGAGAAACCACACCAAACAAGATACCTGTCAGTGCCAATGTGGGTACAGTTTTTAAGGATTTATTTTTTGTGGACGATAAATTTATTGGCTATGGTTATCGGCCTATATATGACAATAATTAATTGTGGACGATTGCCAATGACTATCGGTTTAAAGATGAAAAAATAATTTAAATAAAAAAGCAAAAACATTATTGACTATGCTTTTCATTGTAAAAGATGTGAACAGATGATCAGGGACACACCATTGATTAATTTGATTAATCTTGTTATTGACTGTTAACCATACACGACCAGTAGTTACTGAAATGAGAAATCAATGCATGGGGTGATTACCCTAAAGTTCAAACCGAAAACATGTTGGAATGAAATTGTTGTTTCGGGGATATCACAAGGCTATTTATCAAATCCATCTGTATAACAATGTTATTGATTAATCCTATTGGTATTACAAGGGTATTGCTTAATAAAATTGGTATTACACGGCTATTGATTAAACCTATTGGTATTACACGGCTATTGATTAAACCTATTGGTATTACACGGCTATTGATTAAACCTATTGGTATTACAAGGCTATTGATTAAACCTATTGGTATTACACGGCTATTGCTTAAACCTTTTGGCATTACACGGCTATTGCTCAAACCTAGGCTATGGATTAAACCTGTTGGTGTTACACGGCTATTGATTAAACCTATTGGTATTACACGGCTATTGCTTAAACTTAAGCTATGGATTAAACCTATTGGTATTACACGGCTATTGCTTAAACCTAGGCTATGGATTAAACCTATTGGTATTACACGGCTATTGATTAAACCTATCGGTATTACATGGCTATTGATTAAACCTATTGGTATTACACGGCTATTGCTTAAACTTAAGCTATGGATTAAACCTATTGGTATTACACGGCTATTGATAAATCTTATTGGTATTCCAAGGGTATTGATTCAACCTATTGGTATTACAAGGCTATTGATTAAACCTATTGGTATTACAAGGCTATTGCTTAAACCTATTTGTTATTACAAGGCTATTGATTAAACCTATTTGGTATTACAAGGGTATTGATAAATCTTATTGGTATTCCAAGGGTATTGATTAAACCTATTGGTATTACACGGCTATTGCTTAAACTTAAGCTATGGATTAAACCTATTGGTATTACACGGCTATTGATTAAACCTATTGGTATTACATGGCTATTGATAACAGCTATTGGTATTACAAGGCTATTGATAACATCTATTGGTATTACAAGGCTATTGATTCAACCTATTGGTATTACACGGCTATTGATAAATCTTATTGGTATTCCAAGGGTATTGATTCAACCTATTGGTATTACAAGGCTATTGATTAAACCTATTGGTATTACACGGCTATTGATTAAACCTATTGGTATTACACGGCTATTGATTAAACCTATTGGTATTACACGGCTATTGATTAAACCTATTGGTATTACACGGCTATTGATTCAACCTATTGGTATTACACGGCTATTGATTCAACCTATTTGCATTACACGGCTATTGATAAATCTTATTGGTATTCCAAGGGTATTGATTCAACCTATTGGTATTACAAGGCTATTGATTAAACCTATTGGTATTACACGGCTATTGATTAAGCCTATTGGTATTACAAGGGTATTGATCAAACATATTTGGTTTTACAAGGCTATTGATTAAACCTATTTGGTATTACAAGGGTATTGATAAATCTTATTGGTATTCCAAGGGTATTGATTCAACATATTGGTATTACAAGGCTATTGATTAAACCTATTGGTATTACTAGGGTATTGATTAAACATATTTGGTTTTACAAGGCTATTGATTAAACCTATTGGTATTACACGGCTATCGATTAAGCCTATTGGTATTACAAGGGTATTGATCAAACATATTTGGTTTTACAAGGCTATTGATTAAACCTATTGGTATTACACGGCTATCGATTAAGCCTATTGGTATTACAAGGGTATTGATTAAACCTATTTGTTATTACAAGGCTGTTGATTAAACCTATTGGTATTACAAGGGTATTGATAACAGCTATTGGTATTACAAGGCTATTGATTAAACCTATTTGGTATTACAAGGGTATTGATAAATCTTAATGGTATTCCAATGGTATTGATAAAACCTATTGGTATTACAAGGCTATTGGATGATCGTATTGGTACTACAAGGCCATGCAAACTTGAATTTTTTTAAAGCCTTGTTACACCTGATCATTTTCACTAACCTAGTAACACGTTTGTGTTCTCACTTGCCTGATAACTGTTGTTTTTTTAATTTCTTTTATTTACCCGGTAACACTTTCTGTTTCAAATGTTATACACCTGTACTGATATGCCTTTGTTTATATACCTTGATGTACTTTGTATTTTTCAGTGACCTTGTTAGACTTAAGCGTGTATTTGTAGCCCGAGTAAATATCTCGTCGCAACGAGACAGTTACACGAGAATGCTTCCGAAACATTGGATCGGAATACGTCAGCATCGATTTTATGTATTAACCTCGGATGCTCTTAAAACGTTTATCCAATTTTCGCTACAAAACCTGGACCTACTTCAGTCACAGACGATTGTTTGGTCAACAGAATCTCTTTCTTAAAATCGGAATTAAGTAATTCTTCTGCAAACACAACGGTTCTGAGTCAATACTGCATATCTCTTTGAGTAAATATGCTGGTGGTTCCATGGTACATGGTATGTTGTAACCGCAGTGAACGTCACGTCTCCCGGTCTTATTGACATCAGGACGACAACAATGTGTAAGGCAACACACTCATTTAGTCCCTGTTCATATCTGTGAAGAGTATTTAAGTGGTCATTATTGTCGTTTTTTCATGTTTAGAGCTTTGATTGAGATCTATCAACGAAAAGTGTTTTCATGTTTTTGAATTTACCGACGATGAGGATGTGCTATATTTTTCTTTTAATAGTGTGTTAGTCAGAAACCTCACATCACGAACTCAAGTGGAGTATACATCCTGCCCAAAACGATGGTAAGTTTAGTTTGGTTGGTATTTAGAACAGTTTACACAAGGGTTGTGAGTGTTATCAGATATCCAGTGATAATATCCGAGTGTCATGTTTACCTTAAGTTTAATAACGGCAAACATTGACAGGCGCTTATTGACAGCACCAGTGAGGTATAATCCTTGTCGGGTCAGTTTAATTTAAGATGACATGAGCCACTGTCTTCGATGATCAAAGTTCCTTAGACTCTATCCGTACATTGATCAGATAATTTTGATGGAATTATGATAGAATTTTTCTTGTGAATAGATCAGATTTGAATGTATCAGAACCATTAAGATCTCCTAAAAATAATTTCTGAAGATACACTGTAATATGGTTGGGCATAATTATGAAGCCAAGGATAAGGGCAACAATATAATAGAATTTTGCATGTGATTCTTCCACATTTTGAATCTTTTTTTTTTGTCATAGGAAGAATTTAAACAGTGACGAGTTTTGTAAAGTGTGTAGAAAAAGTTGATGTAAAAAGGTACAAAATAAGGGAAATATCCAACTGAAGTACACTTTTATGCGTATGTTATTGTTTATAGACGACTTTTCGCATGTACTTAGGGGTAGCAGTTCTTTTTCGTATATTATTGGGGGCAGCAGTTCTTTTAATTTAAATCTTTTTGACAGCAAAGACTTAATGTATATTATTGTGAGCTTACCTTTTGTGATATGTAGTTGTATGTAGCGGACCGCTATGTAGTTTAATGTTGTTGTGGACAGACCTTTCACGATGTGGTATTGTGGTGTATATGTCTATTATTATGTTTGTAATTGTGGGTAACAGGCCTGGAGGACCGTTTACGTATACAGCTGTGTACATATGGCCTGCAGCGACATGCTATTGTACGCAGCAGGCGTTTTCAGATTTGTGTATTCTCTCTCAACATGTTAATGCACTCAATATAAAATATATACGTTTTGATAAGGAAGAAAAACATAATTTTATCTTCTAGGAAAATTATTCAAACCAAATATAGAACAATCTAATCTGATAGTATTTTCAGTGAAATACACTTTTTAAATAAAACAAAACTATTCCAGGGCTCTTCACTGTATTATTCCTGAACATGTAAAGGCATTAAGTATCAAGAAAAAGCGATTGATAAGGAAGAAAAACATATTTTTATCTTCTAGGAAAACGATTAAAACCATATATAGAACAATACAATCTGATAGTATTTTCAGAGAAATACCCTTTTTAAAAATTTAAAACAATTCTTGGGCTCTTCACTGTATTATCCCTTAACATGTAAAGGCACTTAGTATCAAGTTTAAACAATTGATAAGGATGGAAATGTATCTTATCTTCTAGGATAAGGACTCAAACCATTTATATATAGAACAATAAAATCAGGTAAAAGTTGCAGTGAAATGTACTGTTCATAACATCAAAACTATTTTGGGGGGCCTTTATACTGTTTGGACATGAAAGATATCGCAATCTTTCAGAAACAAACTAACGTCATAAACGGTTTATTTATAGTTATAGTACCAAGCACTGCTTTTAAAATATCTTTATTTATTGACGGTATAGTATTTAAATTATTTACTTATATTCCTTGATGCATTCTTATTGCATTTGGCAACTAGCTTGGAGACTGCAAATATAGTTGAAAAGTGGCACAACTTTTAACCACGACTCTCCGGTGACCCGGAATTATAGGAAAGTCGGCTTTGCAAACAAGGGAATAGATGACAATTCTTTATCATTTATTTCAGTTATTCTACACAAATTGCTTTAAATATTTTTAACTATAAGCAAACGCTACAACAGCAGATGGCCTGAACATAAATTCCCCTTCAGCATGTTCTAGCGCACTTTCCCAAAAGAAAAAAAACCGGGACAGGGACACAATTAGTTTTCATGTGTTGTGATGGACATCATCAATGTATATTCCTACAACAGCAAATGATCTTACAAGTGTCACCTTTAGAGAGAGAAAAAATACCCAGATCAACAACAAGTAGTAAACAATATGTCTTTTTTGAAATATTCCTTAATTTGGAATAATTCTTATTTTAGAATATTCCTTATTTTCAACAAACATGTTTTCGCCCTAATCATCAATCATACAATGTACCATCCTCAACGCTACGTTGATTCAATGAAAGTGAGACACCCTCCTTGCCAGCAGCTTAGTGTTTGACCTGCTTACAATGAGGTGTTTTGGGGTTTAACTTAATTACTACGACCCAAGTAAGAATGGAAAGAAGAAAGTGTTGCTGTTTCGAATGTGAACTCTGATGTATCGAGTATATGAGCTGATAGGTAGAAGCATTTGTTTTTGATAAACAAATACAGAGCCCATAAGGTCTCGGTATAATGTAACCAATGATCAATTTGGGCAAACTTGCTTTGAGGATAAGGCTTTGTTTTCAATATCTAGATCTATTTACACGAATCATTTTGTAAAAGAACCGAAAAAGGATTTATTTCATTTTACAAAAAGTGCGAAGTAATCTTGTTAACAATGCTCGTTTAATTTCTAAACATTTTTTTTCATGTTTGTAAGTATGGATTATGAGAAGTTCTTTTTACACAACCAATAAGAGTTTCTATGTGACGTTTCGATGTATATACACTGTCACCTTCATCAGACAAAAGGACCAGTGAAATGTATGCACACAAAGGTGTTAAATGTGTACGAGTTTTCCCCAAAAATTCGATGTCGATTCGGCTACTCTGTAATCGTATGTACACTGGTCATTTGTCTGATGAAGGTGACAGTGTACATACCGTACTAGTCATCGAAACGTCACATTGAAACTGTTATTGGTTGTGTAAAAAGAACTTCTCATAATGTTCGTTTAAATAAGAGATAGGTGTACAAGTTGTTGGTGCTTCATTGTCACTATTTAAGATCTAGTATTAGTCATAGTTCATTTGCTTTTCAAGAATCCGTTCCGAGCATAAGAAAATCTGAATGGATTCATCTTGCTGTCGGTTTCAGAATTTAGCCCGGGTTTGTATCAGAAAGGTTCAATCTGCTCTGATAAGAACGGAGACATGATGGCTTATAGGTCGTGCAGGAATGGCAGACTCTCCGGAAGAAACTGTTTTTGACTGATTTTGCATACATGTATTTAGTATTTGTTGGGAGGGGGAGGTAATTTTTTTCCTTACGCTTTAAGATTTGTGCTTCCTCATTTCTCGGAACCGTCGGTTGGTGTCTTGTTTGGTTTTGACCTTTTCCTGGCATGGAGACGTTATCGTATACTTTTTTCTGTTCTGAATTCTTTGAGTTCTTCACAGACGTGCTGACGTCATTGAACATTTAAATTACTTTAGTATCTTCACATTTCTTCACAAACATGATGACGTCATAGAGTGTGACAACTATCCCCACAATCCTTTACAAAGTCACTAACGTTACTGATTTGGATATTTTACCTGTTCTTTATCAGACTCTCACAAATACGCCGACGTCATCAACACGTGATATTGAAACAAATAACAGACTTACAACGTTTATTCATGAAACTACTAGTTAATGTTTAAGTCTATTGACATTACAGTAAAATAAATATTTGTATATCGAAGATAAGTAAATCATACTGCTCTTCTTTACTTAAGTTATCTACAAAGACACTTCATTGTGGTAAGTCTTACTTGATTGACGTAGATCTTTGTTGACACGACACTTAAAATGCTTACCATGTTGAATTTGAAAAACTATAGTTCAAGCACGAGGCTATTATTCAAGTACGCATGTTCGTTAATAAAAGATTTGAGTATGACGTGCAGACGCTAATTAAGCGATGATCAAACGTATGTAAAGGTATGGAATGAATAACTATTAATGAGTGTCGTTAACAAGATCATAATGGTAACATATTTTCGATGCTTAATCATATAATGAACAGAAACATGGTAAAAATGGGTGTAAATATCATGTAATAATTGATAAGGGTATAAACGATGTGTGCGATGCACATGTTATACATCATGATGAGGCTATAACCATGTGCAAACTACTGAACGTCGCAACCAGCTGTACACGGTGGTTATGTTAACCATGAACATCGCAACCAGCTGTACACGGTGGTTATGTAAACCATGAACGTCGTAAACAGATGTACGTACATGGTGGTTATGTATACCATAAACGCCGTAAACAGCTGTACATGGTGGTTATTTAAACTATGAATGTCGTAAACAGCTGTACACGGTGGTTATGTGAACCATGAACGTCGTAAACAGCTGTACACGGTGGTTATGTGAACCTTGAACGTCGCAACCAGCTGTACACGGTGGTTTTGTATACCATGAACGTCGTAGACAGATGAACGTACATGGCGGTTATGTGAACCATGAACGTCGTAAACAGCTGCACATGGTGGTTATCTAAACTATGAATGTCGTAAACAGATGTACATGGTTGTTATGTGAACCATGAACGTCGCAACCAGCTGTACATGGTGGTTATCTAAACTATGAATGTCGTTAACAGATGTACATGGTGGTTATGTGAACCATGAACGTCGCAACCAGCTGTACACGGTGGTTATGTAAACTATGAATGTCGTTAACAGATTACATGGTGGTTATGTGAACGTCGCCACCAGCTGTTCATGGTGGTTATCTTAACTATGAATGTCGTAAACAGATGTTCATGGTGGTTATGTGAACTATGAACGTCGTAAACAGCTGTACACGGTGGTTATGTGAACCATGAACGTCGTAAACAGCTGTACACGGTAGTTATGTAAACCATGAACGTCGCCACCAGCTGTACACGGTGGTTATGTATACCATGAACGCCGTTAACAGCTGTACACGGTGGTTATGTAAACCATAAAGGCTGTTAACAGCTGTACACGGTGGTTATGTAAACCATGAACGTCGTAAACAGCTGTACATGGTGATTATGTAAACCATGAACGCCGTAAACAGCTGTACATGGTGGTTATCTAAACTATGAATGTCGTAAACAGATGTACATGGTGGTTATATGAACCATGAATGTCGTAA